TTTGCTAAGTTTAGGGAATTTGTGTAGGAGCCATTATTGGCACTGTTCCTATGCCCAAATGGGGTAAGAGCAGTCACTTTTTAGGGATTTGATACTTTCGAGGATTGCATTGTAGGCATGGATTCACTTTGAAATAAATGAACCTTAATTGCTATTTTTCCTTGGTGAGGCCGAGATTAGAATGGGGTAATGTCTAGTAAGAATCCGAAAGGTGAAAAATTAATATAGCTAGACCTCTTACTTTGCGAAAAAGGGAATGGGAGCCCCGGTCAAAAAGCATAAGATGAGACTTGGGTATCTTTCGAAAGAAATGGCGTTCTCGTGCCAACATGACAAGGAAAACTAAACTTAATGAATGAACTTGGAGGCTATTGAAAAATTAGCTTTAGTCCTCCGCGTACTTCAAGTATACGTCAAAGCACAAATGTGCCGAGACGGTTTAGCTTAGTTGTACACCATGTCTACTCTTTGCATAGGTTTAAATGATTGTTCCTAAAATGTGGCCTACCGAGTTTCTTGATCCTAAGAATAGCCCTGAAGTTCCGAAATACATTAAGTCTTTGTTAGAATATTCCTACCTCTCAAAATAAAGGGACTACTTTCATTATTATCCCTTCACCATCAAATTCACAAGTCCTTCTGATCAGTAGCTAGCTTATTAGTGAATGTTGTCATTACTTTGAGGATGTTGTGAATAATTTTGTCAAATAGTTTAGCTTGAGTACAAAGGCGTAGTTTAGGGAAGGATTTTCTTGATTTAAACTGTCTGTCCTGTGAATATCCCTTTAACTACATGTGTATGCTAACTATTTTAAATTCCGTGTGGTGACTATCGTAAGTCCCGTTGTTCGATTTGCTTGAGGACAAGCAAAAGCTTAAGTGTGGGGGAGTCTGATAAGTCCGTATTTAGACACGCATTTGATGCGTGTCCGGGTCGGATTTTGATGATTTTCTTGGCTTTAAGGCGTTGCAAGTCTCAATTTTGGCTCAAGTTGTGTTTAGCAGGCATTGGATCAAGTTTCGTTGCATTTGGAGTTGATTTGAAGAAGTTAGAGTCCGGCAATCGGGGCTAAAGAGACAGTCGGGAGGAGATAGAGAGCATTCAAGGAAGAATTGAGAGATTTGGAGGTCACCAGGTGATTCACGGCGAAATTTTGAAGAAGAAAGAGCATTGGGATCGACCTCGGATGAGTCTGGACACGTTTGGAGCAAGAAAACGAGAAAACGGAGCGAAAAAAGTCAGACGCACGGTCATGCGTCTGGGACGCACGATCGTGCGTCCATTATGAATTCGCGTTGAAGCTTCTGCCTGCTACGCACGATCGTGCGTAGGCAGGGACGCACGATCGTGCGTAGCCCCGTGACACGCGCGGAAGTTTCCTATTTCGGCCCAAATTCGGTTTTTTCCCCCTTTTTCTATAAATAAGGCCTCCCTAACCCTTTTTCAGGGTTACGAACATTACGGAGAGGCCTAGGGACGAACTTAACACCGTTTTTACGCTATTTTCTTCCAAGACCCTGGGATTATTTGTAAGTTCATCTTTTTAATTAATGACAATTATTTCTATTCATCTCAATTCTGTTGATTCTTCAATTATGAATTGTGAGTAGTTTAATTAGGGATTTGGGGTTGATGAAGGGGTTAATCATGATTGATGGCTAGATTCTTGTTGGTTTAATTGCATGAATGCCGTTTAATTTGTGTATGAATAATTTAACTGATATCTCTTGTAACCTAGATGGCCACTAGAATTACAATTGCTTATAGAATAAATTAAGAGAGATCTAATTTGTTCTAGGACACATTCACACACACTTAATCGTTTGCTAAGAGATTAGTAGCGATTAAGGAGCCGTAAGCTCGCTCGTCTTGGCAATAATTTAGGATCTTGTCGCATGAGAGATCAGCCTGGTCCCCTAAATTATTGTACTCTACGCCACGAGAGCGGTAAGAATTTAGTAATGATTAGCTAGGCTCAATTAAATTAAATTCATGTAAATTAGGCCTGATCTGCCAGAAATCTGGTTACCCCGGAATCAATCCCTGTTCCCTTCGTCGTTAATTGAGAAGAAACCACTTTTATTTTAATCGTTCATCTTCATTAGTTTAATATTAATTCACCAATCAATCTCGCACACTTGCATTAATTTATTTTATTTCTTTTTAATCGCTGAATTTAGTTAATCTTTAATTCCCTTTTGTCCGTCCCTGTGGAGACGATACTCGTACTTTCAACCACTATTCTACAATCTTTTTAAGTGCGAGAAAACACTCATCACTGACCACTGTCATGTGGACATAGTTTATATTCCAGTTAGAATAGCATAATGCATGTTCTCTTCATGAATTAGTATACATAATTATCGCAAGGAAAAATTCAAAGACACTCCAAATTTTGAATACAAGCTCATCTGGGTGTGGTGTCACAGCCCTGACTAGGCAAAGCTGGTCGGGACACCAAAGCAACTCCCTACATCGAAGGAGACAAAACACACCGGAGCACCAGAGCCCGGGAAAGAACAACCATAGAGCAGAACAAACACAACAACAAAAGAACAGTAGTCAAGTTACGATATACTCCTACTAAAAATCTCTACGAGCGATGTTACCTTCATTTAGCCGGAATGAAGAACAACACAAGGCATCACTCTTTTTCCAGTTGCCCACTCATCATAGTCGCACTGCAAGACTCTCCAATCATCATGCAATGTGCTCTTATAATAAGAATCAAGAACAAAGAACCGAATATTTGATTATGGTGATAAAGATTAAAATAAAGCTATAATGCTGGTTAGTTATCATGGATTACTTCTCGCTTTGCCCATGCGGCTATGCCGCCCAAACTTCGGCACTCCCTGTCAAATGAAAACTAGATTTTCACTCGTGCGATGCACGGAATAAAAAATAGTTAATAATTTTACGTAATAACTTTTTTAGTATAATTATTTTTTAATTAGGGGAAAATGAATTAATGTCTTAAATGAATTATAAAAGAGGTGATCAGTTTAAAAATATAAACATTATATGTAGTATTATAGAAATCATATTTTCCTTAATACATAGTATTAAATAGAAAGAACAAAATAAATTTTATTAAGTGACAAAAGTATGAAACTTGAATGAGTGGGTAGACAATTGTATTACCTAGAATATTAAGTACCAAAACAACTGAATGATATTGTACTTTGCTATATAAGGGGCTATTTACTTTTTTCCATTAAGTTCTGGTCTTGATTGTATATGAAGTTGTTTACTTATGTCCTGAATAGACGGTCTGAATGGAATAAAATAATCAGTTTAGTACGGAGTATTATTCTTGAGTTGTAAAGTCAATAAGAAACTTCGTTTTAGTATAAATCTATTTCACAATCAATTTAAAAAAAGTTGATCGGAAAAACGTCTTAATAGACATCTTAATGGGGAGAACTGTTATTCTCCAGCTTAACGATTAAGTCAGTTTTTTGGCTGAATGATTAAATCGTGCTTTCAATTAAGTCGTAAGTAAACATGACTTAACGATTGAACGATTAAGTCACTGTTCTCATTAGTCCATTAAGTTGAAAGTAAATCGTCCCTAACTTAGGCTTCCAGAACTTCAATTGGCCGCTATGTGATTGCAGTGGCGAAACTATTATTTATATTTTGGATGTTCAAAATTACAATACTAATAAATAAACTAATAACGTATTATTCTAATTCATGCACATTTTTTCCCATTGGGTTTATATTTTTGGGTGTTCACATGAACACCCTTAAATAGAAGAAATCCACCATTGTGTGATTGTCACTACACACTCCCTAATCCCAACCCGCTTTTGACCCAATATTTTGGGTGGGAGAATTTGAACTAATTTTTTCTTCGTATTGTAAGAGGTAAGATAATCGAACCTTAAAGTTTTTTAGTCTCTCCTATGTTATCATTATTCTAAGTTGTTTTCTATAAAATAGAGTAATTTTAGTGGATGTTATATATCATATAAAAAATGCAATTGAATAACTTGTTTTTAGAAGTATTGGAAAGTTTTACTATATATACCTGAATAATAGAATCAATTCCAATGTCAACAAATGTTAGCATTTGACCCTCAAGCAAATTAGAGTAAGTTGCTTATTCATTTGTGTTTTATACGCAATTATTGAAAAGGAACTGCCTCTTGTTTGTTCTAGTTCTGGAGGGAATCCCGAGTGATCCAAAATAATTCAGTTTATAATCTTCTAAAAAGGAAACTAACATTACTACGTATTTTAATACAATTTTAAGGAAAAAGAACTATAGGATGGAGATAACTCAAAGTAAGAAATAGGCATCATATTTTAAGCATCTTTTATTGCAACCCCCTCGACACCTTTCAATATCATTTTATTTGAAATCTGGTGTAGTGTGGTGCAGACCACTTATCCCCTATTTCCATAGCTTGATGCATGTAGTGGGAAGTGTCTCTCCAACTGCACAATGCAATGTAGAACTTATGAAGACAACATGAGTGCCTTGCTTATGGACTAATGATGTTTTCTTTTGGACTGAAATTCATACTTAAAATTCATGGCTCCCCCCAGATGCAAAACCATACATCTGTACTCGAATGATTTTAATCCTCTAATCCTTCATTAACCCAAAAATAACCAATGGAGCGACTGTATTTTATAACAACCATTTGTCATGATATTTCTCGTCTCATTTTTAAGAACTAAACAAACTGCATGAACTTCCTTTTAAAGTTGATTTATGCAGACTTATATATTGAGCTTTATTTCATTTTGTTACCACAAAATATCCGGGGGAAATCCCAGCATTTCCTAACCTGCATCCCTGTTACGGGGTACAAAATGAAGGCATAGGACGTGCAATATTGGGCACTGGAATACTATATGTACCAAATTTGTTTGATTTCAGTTTACAATCTAAGATAAACATTGGATTTGTACTTATTATAAACTTATAATGCCCTTATTTCCTAGAAAGATATGTAAGCATTTAAGTAAACATAAATTAAATTCTGTTTTAAAGATCATCCAAGTTAATATTTCACCAAATAACAATATCTTGAAAATTAATACTTTAATAACTAAGTTGGCAGGTCCAGAAGCTATTCAGAGGGAAAATTAGAATAGATCGGGAAGAAGAAAAAATGATGCCAATAGAACAAAAAGATACACTTTAATAGCCTTAGATACATTTAGTTTATTTAGCAAAAAGAAACAGAGAACCAACGTGAACCTGCTTACTTGAGAAACCAACTTAGAAAAGAATGGGTTGTCACTGCATTCAGTATTCCAGTGGGAAGACCATGCTCCCCTTCTGCTATTTCAAAGAAAAGAAATAGAAGTAAGGTACTAATTAAGAGAGAGTAAAAAGGATCTAAAATTTTAGGTATAACCCTATCAATTTTACAATAACTTTAGCTTTGTTGATTTTTCAATAACTATGCAACATGATAAAGTAAATTTGTGATTTTTCAGAAAGAATGAGAAAACATAAGCTCCTTAGCCTCTAATTCTGAAACTGCCTTTACAAAACATTGCTTTGGACGAAGCAATTGGAAAGTAAATGAAAAATCAGAAAGAATCGCAACATAAACGCTTTAGCCATTCTTAGAAAGCAACTAATCACAGAGTGAACTGCCTCTCTTTTCAAAGCTATGAAAGCAACTAATCATAGAGTGAATGGCTTTATCACTGAACAGAAAATCCATATATAGTTTCAATCAAGAGGCATAAGTATTCTTAGTTCTTAGTCATAACTAAATTGTTTTCTTACTATTCTCAAACTAAACCATGTTCCAGTATTAATAATAAACATAATAAAGATCCTCAGGTTTGACAAATTAAAAAATAATAGTAAGCAGCTCAATATAAAAAAAATTCAAAGGCTACAAAACCATACATATTGATTCCAGCCCTCCAAAATCAATAGAAAACCATACATGTTGATTCCAGTCCTCCAAAATCGAGCTTTTCTGAATGATATAAAGTATAATAACTAAAAATTTCTATTAGCCATTCCAACAACTTCTTACTTGGAAAAGCTATGGTTGTCAATTTATATGCAATATAAGGTCAATAAGTTTTTACTTGTGAATTATCGATTAATATCAAACACTACACTTTGAAGTGAGACATTAAAGAGTGGTTTTATTCTGACTGTGATTCTAGCTGTTATTGTGATCCAATAAGATGGAGAAGCCAATATTTATATAGAGTATAAAGGAATTCACAATTCAGAAACATGAAGCAATTTAGTGACATACGTAAAAAAATCATATGGCCGATCTATGAGTACACTCGTAACACCAACAGCAAGTTTGTTTCTTTAATACTATTTAAAAACAGAATAATCTAGGTTGCTTTATTTAATGCGACTAAAAAAATCAGGTTTATTTGTCATGTCATGTTATAATTGCAAAATTGAGAAGTTGTATTCTTATTTAACCACATCAAAGATCAATATTATGTTCTCATGCCATGTTCTATTAAATGGAAAAAACATTTAGTAAACATGTAAAAAGTTATGAAACTGGAGTTGATTTATATACGCACCATTATAAACAATTAAAAAGCAAAAGCATATTTGAGCAGAGTTCTATAGTATGTCATAATATGGACCTTATACATACAACAGTTTGGCACTTGAAATGGATTTCAAACCCGAAAGAAATGCAGGTAAACGTTAGTTAGGATTGTGTTACCGACCCCCTTAACAGATTGATATTAGAATAAGTAAATGCTAACCAAAAGTGAATAACTTTTAGAATGAATGATTAATGACCAAAGGTAATTAACTGTGGGAAATTCCTCAAGATTGCATTCATTGCATCGAATATGTGTTCATGGTGCTGGTGCAAACATTTGCAAATTGCACACGGCCTGCAAATCAAAGAATCAAAGAAAAATCATAAAAAAGAACTGAAATGTGTTGAAAAGCAAAAAATCAGATACATTGGTTGTTGTGTTTGGTATCCTAGGACTTAACGAAAAAATAGAGCAGATTTCATCTTCTTCCATATACAAAGAAATCTTCTAAAGAATGAAAACCTGGGAGCATATGGGAAAACGAAAACAAAACGGGAGCCATACATCTAGGTGAGTATTCAAGCAGCTGAAATGAAAACCTCCCTAATATTGTAAAAGGATTTATCATTCGAACATATACTAAGAAATCTTGTAAACTGCTACTACGTATATGATTATAACTACCTAGTCGAGATAATTCTGGCCATAGCTTGACACCTGAAGCGTTGGGCCAAACCCGAAGAAACCTTATCGTCTTCTTCGTCATGAAGTCCGCAAGCAACAGAGTGGCCAGAGCCTCGTGGGCCGTCTCCTTGAAACTGCCTCCACTCCCTTGATTTTGCCAGTTTCCCCTCCGCTTCGTTAATTTCGGCCTCATCTTTCTACCGGCCGCCGTCTCTGAAAGGAAAAGCCCCAGTTCCGCCGGCCCCGTTCCCGTCCCTAAGGCACCTAGTCGCGAGCAGTTTCAATCGGCCAGTGTGGTCGTTGCCACCGTCTATGGCCCCATTGATGTCGCTGCAGTGGATGCGACACTACTTGTCTACTTCGCCTTCTCTTTGCCAACTCCGCACCAGATAATTTGCAAAGGCCTATGAGGAGTACACTTTTAATTTTTATTTTTGAAAACCAAGCACCCAACAGTCCGAACGGGTTACTCCTTGGGAATGAACGACACTCGAACAGTGACAGGCGACCCTTCTAACTTCCAGCGAAATACTCCGTACCACTTTGACCCGATTGCGACACTTTTGAGCGGCAAAATGATTTCCACTTCTTATATAGAGATAGATTTCGTAAGGGGTACACACTTTTTTGTGTATGCACTTTTACACATATACAGATAAAAAAATCTGCACAGATATGTGTAAAAGTGTGTACCCAAGTTCCAACTCCCCCTAAATTTAAGTTATAAACCAATCACAAACAAAATAATGCATATCATAGAAATAAAATTATTTTGGTGAAAACTAAGAAAGATTGGCTCATATTTTTTTTTTCAGAAAAAGGGCTCAAAAGAAAAACCTATGTCGTGCCAAATCGTCTCTGGCTATCTCTTCTCAGACCAGCATTAATGACGAAGCGACAACCAGTCCTCTTCAACCGCTAGTCTGCACCGGCCACCGCTCGCAGCTCGCTGTCCTGCCATCTGCCGCACCTGCACGCCGGGAAAATAACTGATTTCTGTCTTTCCGACTCACTACTCAGGGAGGTAATCTTAAATTAGAAATTCAATTCCATCGTTTGTTCAAAATAGAAAAACTAGTTTATGATATAATTAATGATTTGTTATGATATGTGTTTTACAAAAATCAGATTCAATTACTAGTTTACCATTTATGTTCAATCAGTACATTGCAGTTTTCTCAAATTTCAATTAGTGTAATTTAGGAATTTGAAATTTTTTCTTCCGTCTAAATACACAAAGTTTATTTTCCTGTTTTTGATACCTCAAATTCATAGCAAACCCATAGACAAAGTTTAGTTTCCTGTTTTTGATACCTCAAATTCGTAGCAAACCAAATGCATCTGCCTAGTTGTTTTACCTCAATCACAGTGACTACTGACTAACACCTGCTAGGCATTTTCATAACATTGCATATTTAGAAAGTTTGCTATCATAGATCAATTTTTGTGGCATGTAGTTTTCTACAATTTGATTGTGATTTGTGCTGAACGTTCATGGGCAATTTATTATATGATTGTGGTTTGTGTTAAATGTATGGGCAATGTATAATATGATTGTGATTTGTGTCTATGAATATTAATCCCATTGTTTAGTATTAATCATTTAATCCAATTAGCATTAATATCTTTGTCAGTATTAATCTCATTATTTAGACGTTTAGGATTAAGCCTTTAATATTAATTAATTAATTAATTAATTAGTATTAGTATGATTGTGATATGTGTTTATTTATGGCATTTTTTAGTATTGATACAATTAGTTTTGTTAGTATTATTCCTTTTGTTCCTAATATACTTATGAGGATCTTTTTGCTATTTCCTAACTTATCGTATGATGTGGTGGATTTTTGTGGTGTATAAAAAACTAATGAAGCTAGAGTTGAAGAGATACTATAGATATGTTGAAGTAGAAGCTAATGAAGATATTTTACTAAGAATTGTAATAGCCTCTAGTAGATCCAGACATCTAGTTGAAGAAACTTCAAATAGTTTATGTAAACCGATAGAGAAAAAGGCATCTTCTTGACATAGATATCTTCTTGATATTTGACAGTGATGTCATTATCTCATTATCTGGTGATATTGATCTATGAAAACCCATAAAGAACAATTATGAATTTATGATATTTATTTTTTGTGTTTTACTTTTTAGGCAACTAATGTTATGCTATTTATATGAAAACTTTGGCCCCACCTGGATTACGCTGGTACCTCTCTTTCATGCTGCAGAGTGTCTGTTGGTAAGTCGGTGACCTTTCAATTCTTCACGTTAATTTGCAGCTCTAGGCTTAGACCTGACATTGCGAATAATATTTTTGAATTCTAACCGTATGTAGGTTGTAACTACCACATAGAGTACTTTTCAATTCCTTACTCACAATTTCTGGAACAGAGCAACATAGCTTGTAAAACACCGCATACTGGTATGCTCTTCATCTTTAGATGTGTCTCCATTCAAACTTATGCAGACAACCGGTTCGATTAAATGTGTTTGATAAAATTAAGGGTACTTCAATTTTTTTCATATACCAGATCTTCTTATGGGTCTAGTATATTTCCTTGATTCTTGTTTTTTTGAAATATTGTTCTGTAAATGAACCACTGGATGAGAGTTGGAGTATGTGTATGACCAGAAACTCAACAATGGTTTCCCTCTGGAATTTGTTTTTTAGGTGTGCATGTTCCATTGTGCGAACAGAAGAAATGTGGGTTTATGATGGATGTCTACAAATCCTAAAGATCCAGAAATTGCGAAGAGTAGTGTCCTATGCCGGATTCTATTGCTTCACTGCACTCCTTACTTATATGTACACCAATAATACGTAAGTCTTAATATGCCCGCCACCTTTATAGATTTGTGTAACCGAAAGCCAATTTCTGTTTTTAAGGTGAACACCTCTCCTTCGGATTTTGCTTACTGGCTTGAACATGTCAGGTGTTCATGGTTGCAGTTAGGGGTGGGCGAATCGGTTTACGGTTCGGTTTTTATCGGTTTCGGTTCGGTTTCGGTTTATTCGGTTTGAGGAAAATAGTACCAAACTCAAACCAAAAGAATTTCGGTTTGGTTTCGGTTCGGTTTGGGAAAAATTCGGTTCGGTTCGGTTTGGTGTTCGGTTTGATGTTCGGTTTATAAACTTGAAAATGATTATGTCTTGTTTCATATGTTACAATCCACTTTGAGTAAATGAGTAATTTTGAATATTTTGTTTTCATTGAAATTCCAACTAAATGAAATACTAGAACCAGCCTTCACCAAACCAATTGAACAACGTGCCTTCACCTGCTTAAACAACCTGCCATTTGAAATTCCAACTAAATGAAATACTAGAACCTAGCTTAAACAACCTGCCTTCACCTGCTAAACCAATTGAAACAAACTAAACCAAAGACTCACACAGAAATAGAAATAGAAATATAAATACAATTTGCTATTGATATCGCCAACCATAATAAATACAAATATGTCGTATTAGCTAACTTTGTCATAATGAATGTTTGAAATGTGTAAAAGTTAAAATAATACGAGTATATGCTTAAATATGCATTTTCATGTCTAAATTTTTATTTATATCTTAAAATGAAGAGTGAAGATAAATACAAAGTGTGTGTGTGTGTGTGTTGTTCGGTTCGGTTCGGTTTTGTTCGGTTTTGTTCGGTTTTTATCGGTTTCGGTTTGGTTCGGTTCGGTTTAATACGGTTTGAAAGAAATAGTACCAAACTAAAACCAAATTGCATACGGTTCGGTTTCGGTTCGGTTTAGTTCGGTTTGGTACGGTTCGGTTCGGTTAAACCAAACCGTTATGCCCACCCCTAGTTGCAGTCTTGCAGAAATGTATGGGTTTCAAATCAGTGACTAGCACCTGGATATTCTAGGCACCTTCTTCTTATATTGACTAACTTTAGAAATTTATAATAATATTATTGGAAATTATGTCCAGTATCTGTATTATTATTAAAATACCAAAAATGTGAAGTCTATACCATTAAAATGTGATAAAATTGAAACTAATAAAAATACTTAAAGAAATGATACACGAAAAACCTTTAAAATTGAAGAGGTGATCTTCACTTATTTTATGCTGAGCATTTGAGTCCTTATATACATATTACACTGGGTAGTGCGCAGGGACGGATCCAGGATTTCGAGTCAGTCAAGGGGGCAAAAAAAAATTGTTAGTGTACGGGTGAATTTTTTCCGCAAGTGTAGCGGGGCAAAAAAAAATCGCTAGTGAAACAGGGTAATTTTTTCGCTAGTGTAGGGCTAATTTTATCCAAAAAATTCCATTAATACATACACCATGATATTTAAGCATTCTAAGTTTAGACAATGATTCTTTTTAACTGCAAGTGCTCCATAAAAAATATTCCTACATTAAAGCATGACAAATCAAAGGAAATTTATTTGAAAATAAAAAAGCATATAGAACATTTCATTAAATTATTTGAAGGGAAAGAGTTTAAAAGGTGCACATCAACCAATGTTTTTTAAATAACTTATGCTTTGTTTAACCACATGAATCTTATCAGAATAAAAATTTAATTTTTGACTTGCAATTTTGTCTATCAATGAGGGGCCACGAGAAGTTTTCTTAATATTACAATAGTATGTATGAGATTATTATATTCAGAATACTACTGTTATTGCATAGTATTGTTAATTAATTCATATACTAGCTTTCTATAAGCGCAATGCGCTAAAACTAATGCCCATTATAAAAAAGGCCAATTCTCCTTCTTGCAAAATATAAACTATAAATATTCCACTGTCCCATAGATATAAGTTTGGATATAAGAAATTCATAATAAACTTTATGAATAATGGTATTGGTAAAATACCTATCTACATCCCGTAGTATAATTTATAAATAATAATAGTATGGTTCTTATTAATAGTATTCATATTGTGTATGCTCAAATTTAAGTAAAAGTGTTTTCGTTTAGATCAGAATTTATAGATTTGGTTTAATCTAGTTTGGACTGGTTTATTAGGTCTAGTTTGATCTGGTAGAGAGGTCTAATGTGAGTTTACCACTTCCTCTGTCTAAACAAATTGACCAATTTTGACTTGCACGTAAAATAAAAATAAAAGTTGTGTGGTTAAGATTTGCGCACATGAGAGGGAAATAGTTGAAACCACATATTTATTACTTTAATTAGAATTCGTAAAGTATTTTAAGACGACTAAATAAGAAAATT